GATCCATTTTACTATGCGGATATGCATATGCGCCAACCACTCTGGAAGCAGATTTGAATAAGTTAAATGGGGACAAAGCCAGTGTCTCTGAATATACTGCATATGAAATATTAGCTGAGGGTTGAACAGAGTCAGTCCTGGGCCAATACCAACCGTGTTAAATGGATCAGGTATCAGGCAGACAGAGCATTGAGACAACAAGAGACAATAGGGTAAGATTCATAAAACACACTGCCGGATTTACCCTGACGTTTTACCACTTGCTCAGTATGAGGCGATGCCTCACATTTACTTCTTTTATATGTGCCAGGAGTGAATCACAACATGAAACAATGCTGTAAAAAATAACGCCTGAACCACTCTGGCAGTAACTGACACTGGACCTGAAACAGCCTCTTTTTTCTGCATCAGATGTGATGTGTTACAAATCCCCCTACACTCTTACTGTCTCTGGGTCAGTGCCCCTCTAGTCAGTGGGGTGGGACCCTCAGGGGTCCATCTCAGTACCTTTAGTCAGGGAACATAACTGAACCATAATCCACTGAATGATATGTTCTAAGCTGTACTGACTCCACACACCCCGTCTCGTCTCCAGGACTTTATTTTACTGTTCTGTTTAAAACATTCGGTTATGAAAAGGTACAAATACGAACTTTTCACCTGGAAAAACTTATTTAAGGTTCACAATCAGACCTTAAAACCACTGTTGGAGCTTTGAGGGAACATTTACACTGTTTGTACCTTGATGAATGAAAAATGTACCTGAATAGTAACTTTATTTCTAACAGTGTAGTGTGTGTGGAAGATTTAGCTTCATTTATCTAAATAAATGAAGAGAAATATGACATTGAGATTCTAATTACATTTTTGATTTTTTTTTGCACATAGTTTCAGCTTTTATTCCTATTTTCCAATTTACAATGGATTTCACAAAGGAATTGAATTAAATTCACACATGCAAAAATAACATTTAAATAGATTTAAATAGATAGATAAATTTAATTTCTTTTTTTTAGTATTCAAATTTAATATTTGTGCTAACTGAATTCCTGACATGAAGAAAAATGGGGAATAAACTCAAAACAGCTTGTCAAAGTAATTAAAATTTCAGCATGTCAATTTAATTTTTAATATCACATTAAACTTTGATTCATGTCCGCAAAAAATTGTTACTGCCGCTCTAATGAATTGGAAAAAAGGCTTAAATTCATACTAATCAGAAACGAAATCTTGCATCCTAAAATATAATTCTTACAAATAAAGTTTTTGTTTTTCCTTCTTTTACTGTATCCATTCTGGCAGCCAACCAGAGCATCACCTGGCGCGAGTCTTTAATAGGAATGATCTCGTTTAGATATGGATTTTGATTGACTCTTGTCTTGGACACTGAAAACACTGCAGCATTCAAAAGACACCGGTGCACTGATCACCTTCACACTGACTTTATGAAAAGCTCTTATTCACTATGCTGCACGTTCTTGTGTGCTGGAGCCCTGTCACTGCTGGGTTTCATGAATCTGGCCTAATAATGTTCAACTTGCTGTCCTGTATGTTTTATGTCACTAAGAACCACAAGAGTCTTAATAGCGCTCTGGTATCAGATCAGTCCTCGAGTTTAGAAATAAGCATCGAGAGAGAAAAAGTTTGCGGTGAAAATGGAAGCAGGGAGGCGAGTAAATAGTCGTGATATGGTGGTGCATGAAGGTCAGCGAGAGAACGTCTGATTACAGTGTGTGGACAATTGATCAGAGAAAGGGCCTTTCAGAGGCAGGCGGCAGCGAAATGGAGCCAAAGGGATGGAATGCCAGACACGTAGGGGCTAAAAAGACCCATCCAAAGCTTTCTGCGATAAAAATAGCGCCCTTTCAGCAGCATCACATATGAGAATGCTTTAATCTCAGAGATTCCTCAGCAATACTCTTCTCTCTCTATCTCTCTTTCTCTCTCTCACTCTCTTCTGACAGCTCACCTGGAGTGCTTACAGCACAGCTGCTGTCCTCAGCACCTCATATATCTTTCATGGGCTGCTCAACTGCTTAATTGAAGGCGTCATTCAAAAGGCACGTGTCTCGGGTGGGTGTGCTCAGGTGGCACCTGGTTGTTCCCCTTCGGCGTGCACTACGGGTCCGATCGAGATAGCCGTAATAAACCAGCAACAACCCCTCAAAATTTCCCCCTTTGTTTTGAAATGACGCGGAATTCCTCGTCTAAAAGGCCCGGAGGGATCAGGGCTCCGCTCCAGCAAACACACCCATAAGCATTATCCGGAGACGCCGGAGACCGTGCTCTGCATGCATCATGTAGATGAGAAACAAGCTAGAAAAACAGGGCAACCCCAAAAGAAAACAAGTGATGGCCTCTGTGCGCTTTTGCGGTCGGGCTATGAAAATGGCAAAGCAAAACAAACAGTGAAGTGCTGCCTCCCATCTGGTTTTAATAACAAATCAGTTGTGCAATGATGATGAGGATCCCCCCCCCCATGACTAGCTGGTGTCCCCCACGCACTGTTTACATAAAGCCATTAATCAGATTCAATCAGCAAGTCATTGTTCCCCATTTCAGGCTTGAGCAACATCTAATTCAGCCATATTTCAACGAGGAACATGCTTGAGTAAGCGATCACATGAAAACATGACTGGCTACCTCTTCAAACGTGACACTAATATTTTCAACGGGCCGAACGTTCGCTAAGATGAATTCTTTCCAAAGAATGCCGGAGCTCTCCGTTGTCTCCCTCCCCAGTCATTAGCACAGCTTCAAAAATTCAATGATTTCCAGGATTAAATCCAACCTCTACGCCAGCCTGTTTCCCCTGAGAAGCCCGAAGCTGTAAATGTCTTTCACTGGCCTCGTCAACCAATGTGAACAACTATGGCTGCCATAGAATGTGCCTAAATAGGAACGAGATTCTTTTCAGACTGAAGAAAGACTGTGTGAAGAAAAGGCTTCTGGAAAGGCTGATCGATGGAGCACTACAGAGATTTTACTGGCTTTCAAGAAAAGCCAGTAAAAGCACCGAAACAATGTCGTCTTTGATGAGAAACTTAAGCGAAGTATCCACACATTTAAACCCAGAGAGCTGCTACTACAGGACTACATATAAGCCTTAAGACACAATGGTAGTAAATGGTAAATGGTTGTAAATGGTCCAAAAACAGGTTTTTGCTATTTTACAACCATGTCTAATAGGATTGAGGATAAGAGTAAGTAGTTTGGTTTGAGAATAAAGTAGTAAAGTGATCCTAGAACAGTATTTTTAATGTAAGCAGCCTATTTACATTAAGCAGCCTAAGCCGTCCTAATGGGCCCAGAAATGCTCAATTATTTTTCTTTGTTTTTTTTTTTGCTCCAATTATTTTCTTATTTCTCTTTAAATTACTAAAAACTTTGTACATTACAGCTAAAAAGGCCATAATGTACACAGTTTTCAGGAGAGATTACACATATAAATGAATACACTTGCATAAGGAAGCTGAACGTCAAAGGAAAATATGATAAAAGTTCAAAACTGGAGTTAAAAAGAACTTAAAAAGAATTTCTTAAAAGGAAATTGAAGTCCTAACAACTGCACAAGAGCTGGCAGACCACGAAAAGCACTTTCATCTCTGAGAGAGAGGAGAAAATCAAGCTGCTTCAGATCTGAAAACATCCACAGGTGTTTCTGTCCATCCTTCCACTGTGAGAAGACGACTCAGCGCTGTGGGTCTGAAAGGATGTGTAGCTGTCAAGAAGCCAATATTGAGAAAACGAAATAGACAAAAAAAGACTTGCAAATCAAACAAAGAAGCTGCTGGTGTTCTCAGAACAATAGACTGACCACCCCAGAGTCCAGACCATGACATCACTGAACCTGTTTGGTATTACTTGATTGTGAGAAGCAGAAAATGCGAACAACTTCTATGACTGAACTTTGTATACTTTTTTGAGGTGTAGAAAAATATCTCTGCAGATTTTTTGAAAAACTGAAACCAAGAATGGAAGCTGTGATAAAGGCAAAAGGTGGACACTGAAAATTCAATATTATTTTTGGTTGTTTCTATTAAATATTTGTTTTTCTGCTTTTTTCCTGATGATGGAAAATGAATAACTTGGACTTAATGGCTGTTTTGCTGTGAAATGAAATAAATGAAAAGTGGACTTTGGCTCGGTACTTTCTGCTGCCTGATTAAACAAGGCTGCGAAAGATACTTTCCCCTGAACTCATAGCCAGAGAATTACAGAGAGAAAAGGCTTGCTTTGTCTCAATAAAATGCTTTATCTTTGACACTCGCTTCAAGGGACATCAGTTAAGGATATAAGATTCTGGAATTTCAGAAAATGTTAGGCATAAACACAGAAAAATAGACAAAACTCTGTTGCAATTATCCACCCAACATGCAAAGAAAGGACAAAACACCATGTTAATACAAGAGATGGCACGATACCACTTCTTCTTTTCCAATACCGATATCAAAAGCTTGATATTCACCCAATTCTGATCCAATAATTTTGCCTTAAAACCTACTAAGCTTTAAAATAAGCTATTTCTCATTGAAATACTTCCTTTAAGATCTAAAAGTAGGCAATGGCTCAAACTACTCAAACACAAAGTGAGTGTGTGCTATTCAGGCTAGATTTGTTACAGTATTGGATCAGATTCCTTCTTTCCCTCCGATTTCCAACCCAGCATTTTCTGTTGCTATCAGCCTGATACCGATACCTGGTATCAGACTGGTGCCATCTCTGGTTAATACAACTTACAGACAGATTACAGACAGCGCACATTTATACACATAAATAAGGCACAAAGCAACGAAACATGGAAGCATGAGAGATGAAATGGGAGTTTGAAGGGAATTAATGAAATGAGAGCAATGAAAATAAGCAAATCAAGTGCAAAACAAGTGAACAACTTCAAGTATTCAAATATTCTTATTCATAAAGCTTGAGGCCATTGAAATGTATGCAATACGTATCCAAGAGTCATCAAACTCCGCAAGATGGCTGCCGTGCTCCTTTACCTGACTTTGCGATGCATATCAGAAGCAGGACGACTGGGAGAACGTTCCGGAACTTCCATCTCCACCATCGACCACTGATGTATGAAACCCTGCCATACAATAATAACAAAGAAAAAACATGCATTAATACATAATCCCATTTAATTCACTGCTCTGCTTCTTTTTCAGTCCTAGGCCCAAACCCATTTCACCCCTCACCCCTACCACTTAGCCCTTAGCCCTCGTTCACGTCTAGGGGTAGGGTGTCCCGATTCTTGTTCAAGAGACCAAAGAAACACACAAATGTAAGTATTTTCTCCGATAAAAATTTACGATAATCACTGTATTATCTTGGTTTAGTGTCGTTTCAGTGTATTATGGTCGTTTTCTTCATAACAAGCATAAAAAAAATTGCTACTTTACTTTACATTACTATACTAATGTCTCGGTAGCTAGCTAGCTAACTTTCCCGTTCCACCTTAAATAGTCCAGCAGTTCCGACGCCTGAAGCGCCAGAATGTAACTGCTCCACCATTTAAGGTGGAACGGGAAAATGTGAACAAGAATCTGGTGAATATCTGACTTCAGCTTCATATCACTGAAGAATTAGGGGTGGGCGATAATAAATAATTGCCCCCCTCTTTGAAGTCATATTATGCCCTAAATGTAACTAAAGCCCAGCAGTGAGGAGCTGAACTTTACCCTCCTCTGCTGTCACTGCAGACTGGCAGGGTCGCCTACAGAGCAACACTAGTAGCTGTTAATGAAGTGATGCTCTTTTTACTTGAGGGTCTCATTTTGTAGGGCAAGATTTCAACCACTAAGGGGTTAGAGTGACACTTGAAAACAAGGGGTAGGGGTAAAAAGAAGAAATGGGACTGGGCCCTAGTGTAAGCAGGGCATAACTGTTATATTCCAATTGAGCCAAAGTTCCACTGCGGTCAGATTTGGGTTGTGGGTGTCAATAAATAATAAAATAAGATTGGATTTACATCGTAAGAAAACAATTAACACAGTACAAAGTCGTTCAGCAAGTAATGTTCCTAGGCTGTGGGTGCAGAGCAGAACGTTGGCTAAAAGCTCTTCATGCATGGCAAGAAGCTTCCTCTCACTAACACACACACACACACACACACACACACACACACACATACACACACACACTCGTGCGCAGTTACACTGCGGAGTACAATATCTTCATTCATACTCCCGTCTACGATTTGGGAGCGTTTCGAAGGTTTAAATTATGCATTAGTGGCATGGAAACAACTTTTTCTGCTCAGAAAAGGCCGCAGCCGTGCAAGCAGTCCTGTTACATAATGATAAATCACTCTCTCCTGTCAGCCATAATGACTTCCAGAATAAAGGAGTTTAACGGCAACGTGGACAGCACAACACACGTAAAGGGGAGCTGCTCTATTTTTACACAGCACAGCATGAAACAGCAGCAAAAAAAGACGACCAGGAAAGGTCAGTCAAATTTGATATTAGCCACAAAAAGTTCCACACTGGACTACCGCACGGCAAACGAGTCAGGAGGACGACACGCAGCGTCCGCGCAAAGCGCCTCTCAGAGTCGTGACATTACCGAACTATGTTAAACCCAGACCACGAATCCAGAGTACGTGACATGGCTTGAAACTGATCCCGAGAAAGGCAGACAATCTAAAGCCTTTCAGATAAACAGACAAATGCTGTCAAGTCAGCTAACATTCCTGGCCGAATCACATCGGAACTTATTTCACCTTTCTAGTTTTTAGCTACAAAACAGTGAGTGCGTCTAAATGCACTGAATAATCCGATCATAATCAGATTTATGCAGTTTTCCGATTATTCAAATGGTCATGTAAACAGCAAACTCTGATCTAGAAATCTGATTAAGGAATCTGGGAAAGAGGCTGGATTTTAGCTCAGTAATCTGATTTCTCAGTGCATGTGAACTCTTACTCTGATTTCTTTCAGTCTGCGCATGCGCGAGATCAGACTGCGGTACTGGAAATAAGCGAGCAGCGTGGCGACTTAAACCTAGCGCTGCTGGGGTTTCTTGCCCTTTAAGTCACCAAAATGCAGACGTGGAGGAGGACTGTAGGGCCCAGGATGACACACGGCTCTTTTACTGCCCTGTTGTGGCTCCACAGCTGAATCAGATTTGTAGGTAAAAATAAAATAATCCTCCTTTACAGTAAAATAAAGCTCTGCTGATCGTTCAACACAGTTTAACAGTAAATGGTCTTAAACTCTGGAGTTAATGTAGAACTGCTGATTCACCCTTTAACTCTGAAGATCAGCGCAGACTGCTGGTCACCATAGCAACACAGACTACAGTCTCGCCTAGCTAATAGCTAACGAAACGACAAAGAGAGAGATTTAAGATGAACATCGATAATTTTGAGACTATTTAATAGACTTATTTGCATTTATAATCACTCCAGCTGGTTTCCTGATATGTTTAATCTGCAGTGAGAAACTGACAAACACTAAAAAGTCACGAGGCTGAAGTCAGTTTCTCATTCCAATTTTCCCGTTCCACCTTAAATGGTGCAGCAGTTACATTCGGGTGCCTCGGGCACCATTTAAGGTGGAACGGGAAAATTCAAACAAGAAGCTGATGAATGAGAAGCGGCTTCAGCCTCGTAAAGAAAAAAAAGTTGAGAGACATTTTACAAGAAACAGTTTTATTTTTGTTTCCTGCTGGAGATGCGAGAAAACCTCTTAACATTTGGGTTGCGACCCCTGGCCTAGGGTGCCACTCGGGACAGGCTTTCTCTTTGCTTCCTTCTCAGGGCTAAACAGATGAGAAACTCGGACAAAAGCGTGACCTGAAGGTTCTACACTGCCTTGTGGTGGAGCATAGAGTTCAGACATCTTATGGTTCTCAAATATGAGAATTTATACAACTGAGAAGATCATGAAATTTTACACATATACACATAAACATGCTGTTGCTGTCATGACAAAATCTTGTGTCTCCAAAAAGGTGGTAACTTTAAAATGCTCTTAACTTTGAGTGATCAGCTTAAATTATTGCAAATCAGGTGCTTTGATGTAAAAATTGTGACATGCATAAGTGAAGCTAAGTTAATCATCAAAAATTCTGATTTACTTTTCAACAAATTTTATGTTTTTTAATGACTATTTGAAAATTCTGTCCAGGGAAAAAAACCTCTTCAATTATAAACGTCTCCAGTTTCATCACTTTAGCTTATTTTACTATAAAATGCCAGTTAAAAAGCTTCACACTGAAAGATGTGAAATAATATGAAATAATAAATTAAGCTCAAAAAGCTACACTCAACATACAGATGCCTTCCAGGAAATTCTATAGCTTCCAGGAAATGATATGCATTCAAAGACCAAAAAAACCATATACGTATTTACCTTCTACGCCCACTAACACAAACCTTTATTCAGTGCTCATATCTAGAGCTCTAAATCAAAAAGCAGGACAGAGGAGTAAAAGTTTCCCATGCTGCAAACAAACTGTCAAATGTATTTCCATTCACACACTGTAAATGGCGCAGACCTTTGGTTTTCTTCAAATGGAGAGAATAACTACCCTCATACACAAAGGTCTCTTTTCCAAACCATATGCTTTCGGGGCAGTGGGAGCTCAGTCTTCTCCGCCGAGCTGAGTTACCATTAGTTAATCATACGGTCGCGCAGCCGTGCCGCAGTGTAATGGATTGTGATGTACATCTGCCAGCAGGCTCTGCTCTCCCTCACACACATGAAGGAGGCCTCTGTTCCATAAGAGCCAAGCTTGCTACATCATCACTTCTTACTGCACTTCTTTTTTTTTTGTTGTTGAAAACAGTAACTGAGAAAACCAAGAAGACTCACCCAAAGCCTGAGCTCGGCTGTCTAACGCTATGAAAAACGTATTGATTTGTGAAACATGAGGTCAAAGCAATTAAAAAGGCCACACAAACATAGAATGTTCTGTGGTCTCTTGATATTAATGAGACATACTGATGCAGATGCCATTTAAAAAAAATAAAATAGGTTATACTGGCTTGTTCAACAGCAGAGAAAAATATGAAGGCACCAATCTAATACCCAATATCGGGATCAACAGAATCTCTAACAGAAAACACACTTGATCCAGTTGGATCACAAGCTAAGCCTGAGACATACTGGGTGATTCAAAAAGATTCATCCGATTTCAAAGCGCCATATTTTTACAACCGTGAGGCGTCTAGGAACCAATCACAATTCAATTGAAAGAGGGTTTCAATCATAGAGTTTCTGACTGTCAGTGGAAGATGGCTCCCTTCAGTCTGAGAGGAGATGAGACCCCTGAGCAGAAAGCGTTCTGCGTTCTCCACTTCAATAAGAGTGAATCCGTCAGAACTGTGCAGTGTGATTTTCGTGGGCAGTGAAGCTCCAACAGCTCAGAGCGTTCGTCGTTGGTTCCACAACACTGGATGATCTCCGAAATCGCACTGAAAGAGCCGTGAGTGCAGCGACACCCGACACACTCAAACCAGTATGGGATGAGTTTGACTATGGTGTTGATGTTGTCTGTACAGCTGGAGGAGGTTCATACTGAGACCTTGTACAATTACATAATAAACTTTATGCTCATTTAAAGTCAAGTCAAAGTTTATTTATATAGCACTTTTTATAACAGGTGTCGTCACAAAACAGCTTTACAGAAAAATCCGGGTCTGAGCCCCCATGAGTGTCGCCAATGGAGACAGTGGCAAGGAAAAATTTCCTAAGAGCAAGAGGAAGGAACACTGAGAGGAACCAAGACTCAAAAGGGGAACCCATCCTCCTCTGGCGTTGGTATAAAATATTAGAATATAAAACGGGGAAAAACAGGTGGAGCGATGGTTAATTAGATAGTCTGAGTTTATGCAGCAGCAGCATCATCAACTGTAAACCATTTACAGTTCACTGCATTGTTCTGTAATGATTCACAAGTGAAATAAATCATTTTGAAACTGGATGAATCCTTCGAATCACCCTGTATTAATCACCTCAAACACAAACCAGAGAAATCTGCTTCCTGGAAAGTCCGGCATCTAAAATTCACAGAATATCAAAGCTCCACTGGGGCAACCCAACCCCTTCAGACCTGAGATCCCTCTATTCAAGCCCATCACTGTATGCGCTTGAACGGCTCCACTGGCCACCGCTTTACACAACCAATGTCCTCCTAATGAACGAATGGAAAGAATCTTTTCATTGTGGAAGCCAGGCTAATGAAAAAGCGTTTACAGCAGCAGCACACGCAGCACTGCGGTCAATAACACTCAGGCCCGAAACCTTTTGTTGCAGACCCACTAGAAGTGTGAGAAGTCACAAGATCATGTGTGGGGTCCCCAGATCCTGTTTCAGCACGACAGCTCAGACTGACGAACAATCAGACGAGATAAAAGAGATGTGTATTCCAATCCCACAGTGCACCATGGTGGAATGAGGGGGTGAAAAGCCAGCAGCACAATAGCGATGCCTTGCAGTCATATTTTATTTAAGTTACAAGTGCGTTTCATCAAATCCACGCAATGCATCCCCAAAAGAAAAACTCTTTCAAAGTTATCACCGATTCCTTCAGAGTGAAGAATCAGATCTTCTCAGAGATGATTACACAGAGCATGTTGAAGAGGGAAAAAAGCTCCACAACACTGCGTAACCTATTCAATTCCCCAAAAAGCAGCAAGTAATTACAAAAGCAGTTGGGCGTCTTCTACTAACAAATCAGAAAGCAGCCATTTGTTCGCCTCCTTTTAAAGATTCATGCGATTTGCAGCATTATACGAAACACATAAAACGTGAACATTGTTCCGAATGTTCCCCTCGGAATATGCAAATGCCCATGAATGGGGCCAGCGCTCAACGCTCCAGGCGAGCTGGATAAAGAACTTGATTCATCAGATGGTAAGAAAGACTTGGAAACCCTGAGTCCTGACATTCACACGTCTAAGATGTCAGAAAACAGGGCCTGAAAAACACAAAGCTCTCCAAGTACGCAAACCTAGGACAGGGTTTGCTGAGGGAGCCTGTGAGGCCGACTTCCATATTAAGGGAGAGGAACCAACAAGACCCTGATATTTATAGCCTATATTCCCCTTAATGGAACTGATACCAGGGAAATCTCTTTATGGATCCATTTTCCCAAAGTGGCCGTTCTCTCTTTTCACACTGGGACAATATTTGATGTATCATCATTTTAAATCTGAAATAAATGACTGTCACCAGCAGCTCTTCAGACGTTTATCAATGTAGGTGTCTTCGCTCTTCTCCACAGCAGTGCTGCTATCATGGTTATGTAAAACACAGCCTTTGTAGATCTTTATCTTCCTTCATTTGGCCATTTCTAGCCATTTTTTCCAGCTTCTCACCTCTTTTTTCTCTATGAAAAGCGAATGAGCTTCACTGAGAGCCGGAGGAGTTACAGTTTCCCCCATTAAGATACATTCAGTTTGGCTCTGGTAGCAAACTGAGTCGAGAAAAAGGACGAAAGACGACAAAAACTACAAAATGTCACGTAAACCTGAAGCTCACAGGCACTATTCGTGTAGGAAAGTGTGCACTTACATTATTTCATTGAGGCTCGACTCTTCGGAGGATCATTATTTCTTCCTCTGACGTCCAGGGCGCAGTTTTCAACTTCAGAAAACTTCTGTTTTACAAGGTTCCCGTCAGGTTTTTACGCGCCACGCCGGACAAAGACGAACATGTTACCACACACGAGCGAGAAAACCCCTTTTCAGGTCGACTCTGGTCGCCGAGGCTCGTCTGAATGACCTGTCCTCCGCTTGCTGCAGATGCCGGGACGGCAGCGAGGAGAGTTTACCTCAGACACGGCAGCGGCGTCGAGTGGCACAGCTGGAGGCCGTTCTCTACAGCGCCCCACCCTTTAAGAGAAGCCCCTCGGGTTCAGAGAAGAAGGACCAAAATGAGGTCTTACACGCGGATGAGCTGGAGAAAAGAAACGAACAAAGCCTAAACTCACACGTTCTGACGACGAGTTGTCACTTGTAAGCTGACTTTTCTTCCTTATGCTAGTCCTGTCAGTGTGAAGCCCTGTTGTAGGTATATATACTGTGTGTATATACTGTGTATATGAGTGTGTTTAGGGGTCATTCTACAGAAATGTCCACTTTTCTCTCTCTCCATAGGAGTCACTGGTGTTACTGATCCTCATAATAAAGGAACACCAGAGACATTTTTAATGAAAAATGCATTTTACAGAATAACTGCTACAGAGTATCAAACCACATGTTGTCAATCATGGAATATCCACTAAAATATGGAATTTAATCCATTTGTATTCTATTTTTTCACAATTACCTCAGAATAAAGTCGGTCACTCCAGTGACTTCAGCTAAACGCTTCAAATGAAATCATGAGCTGAATGAGAAAATCTCTGATAACTGAAAGACACAGTGGACTCACCATGAACTTTTCTTCATAGATCCTCAGAAAACAGGTAAAAGGAGGTCGTGATGTCATCAGTGTGATTTTGATTTCAAAATAAGCGATTTTTTTGCTACGCAGTAACACCAGTGACATTTTTTAACGAAAGATGGATTTTACAAAACGGCTGCTACAGAGCATCAAACCACGTTATCAATCATGGAATATCCACCAAAATATGTAATTTAATCCATTTGTATTTTATCGATTTCACAGTCACCTAAAAATAAAGTCGGTCACACCAGTGACTTCAGCTAAAAGCTTCATATGAAATCATGAGCTGAATGAGAAAATCTCTGATAACTGAGAGACACAGTGGACTCACCATGTGCTTTTCTTCATAGATCCTCAGAAAACAGGTAAAAGGGAGTCGAGTGATGTCATCAGTGTGACTTTTATTTCAAAATAAGAGATTTTTGTGTTACGCAGTAACACCAGTGACACGACTCCTGGGGACTTTCATTATATATTTTATAATATTTATTTGTTTTCTTTATGTCATTTAAATCATATATTTCATAGTCATGTATAGATTTAAAATTGCAGAAAAACATTTTTTTTACCTCAAAATATGACTCACATGACTGTGGGGACGAGCTCTTCTGTGGTGCTTGGAATTCTATATGATTGATCTATAAACCAGTATTGCTGAATTGAGGCTCATGAAGGTGGAATTGTTAAAATAACTTGTTTTATTTTAAAACCTAAATAAATTAAAACCCTAACATGTTTTTCAAGTGTAATATATCTGTAAAGCCTAGGGACACAAAAAAGGATGTTTCCATAGAATGACCCTTATGTCTCTCTCTCTCTCTCTCTCTCTCTCTCTCTCTCTGCTTTATAGGCCACTTTCATATAACCTTGGGAACGGACAGGAGAGCAAGAACATTCAATGAGGCCTTGGCCAGCTGGGCTTCTGTTTCAGTGTCAGGAGAGATCTGCTGGTCAGATAGCTTCAGTAAGTTATAACAGGATCGGATAACTGAATACATGCGCCTCATCCAATTCACATGGCTTACAGACGCGTTTTAGGCTTTGGTTCAGCTCACACACTTCGTCTCTTGGTTATATTTTTAGGGGAAATGAAGATTAAGTTATTAGTTCATGTTTCACAACACTTACCTTCAGGAAATCCCACCATTTTTACAAAATCTCTACACAGTTTAACAGTTAACATGTCATCAGATTCATTCGGATTGGTTTGTTTTGAAATGCTGCTGTGGAAAACTTTCCGAGTCAGAATCGTTCACAGTGGTGGTGATAGGAACCAGACGTCTGAAGAAGAGTTTAATGCCTTTAATGCAACCTCACCAAAATATATTACACTTATTAATTACGAATACACTCCCTGATGCCTGAGACACTGTTTCAGGATAGTTTTAAGGGAAAAGTTTGAAACCAAAATGTATTTTTAAAATCCATTCATGGTGGAGAGACACATTTAGGATGATGTAAGGCAAAATAGTCCCCAAAGAAAACTTTTTTTTCTCAGATTTATCACTATTTTAATATTATCAGAATCACAAACCCAAAAGACACATTCACTGGTAGTTCTGGAGAGTAAATAAAAAGGCTATATTTGTGCTGTAGACTTCCCGACCCCTGGTTCCTATCACCACCACTGTAAAGAAGTCCGAGTTGGACCATTTCACATTCAAACAATCCGAATTGCTTTATTTACATCTCAACAATTGTGCAGATATTTTGAAATATCAGTGAAATTCTCCTTTAACACTGGTACTGCAGGACTGAATTCAATTTAGGTTTGACATGATTTGAAAACGCCTGTTGTCCTTTACATTGTTTGTAAATTTCTTGATGAATAGACCAAAATAAAGACCCAAAATGACTTGGAAAAAATTCTGGTTCCATTGACTTACATTGAAAGTAAAGTATGTTTTTTCCTTCTCCTGTAAAGTTACCATTTTGGAGATACAAGGTTTTCTTCTGAAAGCAGCGATATTCAGTTAAATGCTCAGCTCAGACACAATGCCCTACAATCTGGAGGTGACGTCTTTATTTCCTTACCAAAAAGTTCTTGATAAGATCCAACTGTCTGTAATAGAATCTCTCAATTATAAACTCTTTGGCTTCATCATATAAACAAGCCCACCATCTTGTTCAGACAGCCGCACTCCCAATGGGGTTCCTTAAAATGATACTGTTGAACAAACATATTTGATTTCCCTAAAAGCTTTCCAGTGGATGATAACCATCGAAATGAGATGCAAATGTAAAGAACCTTTTTAAAAATTTAAAGAACCTCCACATAACGTAAAGGTGTTTAATTCAGCCCTCCAGAAAGTTATCCCAACACCACTCCCTCACCCAATGAGAGAAAAAAGATTTCTTAATACATTTATTAACTTAGTCATTGTAAATATTCTAAAATTAATCATTGTGTTCCTTTAAAACTTTGTTTTTAAGTACGTTAGTTGCAAAATATAATGTTATATTAAAAACTGTAAACCTCAAAACCTACCTCCTTTATTTGTATACATACGTATATGTTTTGTCTTCTTTGACCTTCTGCCCACCATAAACACTGCATTTTGCCCAAAGAGAAAAAAGTTCAGGTACCCCTGATCTCCACCAATTAAACGAACCATACGACCAAAGCAAGAACTGTTTAGGTATCTTTATTTTCATGAGTGCAGAAGTGATACAGTAAGGTATAATAAGGGCCATTACCTTCACTGTACTGTAAACACTCATGCTTGTAAAGGAGGAACTTTGGTTACGTGTCTTCGGATAATAGAGGTGTGCTTGTGATGTAAGTGTGATCAGCTCAGTGGGAGGCACTGCTACAAAAAAGGAAGTGAATGGAAAGACTTATTCAGTCTTTTAAATCACACACTACGTTTCTGAGCGCATGCCAGGCTTTAACACATAACCACCCCTTCTTCAGGTATATTAAAATGACTATTAACCTGTTTTTCCCTAGAAAAACAAACAAAAAGCAACAGATCTGATGTTGACACCAAAGTACGAGTGCGGAAATGCGCGGAAAATTGGCCTCCTTCAGGCGAAGACTGTGAAGACCAAGAGTACAGAGGACGTAATCACCAGATATCAATGCCATCTGGAGAGGAGGTGCTGCATTAGAAACGTATTATCTTGACCTCACCGGAGTCCACGGCATGCTGGGGCGCAGGCCGGAATGTGCGGAAAATCCCATGTGATTTTCATTTGCATCTCCTCTGCAGCCATCAACAATGAGGAAGGAAAGGATTCAGGCAAATGCAGATGCTTGCAGCGATAGCTCATCCAGCGCCCAGATAAGCCCCCGTGCCCTTTTCTATTATACTTCAGGCTACAAGCAGGCGATGGAGGAAAAACAATGGCCACAGAAGCACCGGTTCAACGACGCAAAAGTGCACAGAAAACAACCGGAACTATCTACAGCAAGTGATTGCTTCCTGGCTGCATGCAGTAATGATCAGGCCAATGATCTTCACGCAGGCCAGGCTGCCTTGAGTGCAGGATACGCAATGCCAGGATTATACACCAATCAGGCATAACATGATGACCACCCCCTTGTTTCTGCGCTCACTGTCCATTTTATCAGCTCCACTTACTATATAGGTGCACTTTGTAGTTCTACAGTTACAGACTGTAGTCCATCTGTGGTCAGGACCCCCATGGACCCTCACAGAGTAAGTACTATTTGGGTGGTGGGTCATTCTCAGCACTGCAGTAACACTGACATGGTGGTGGTGTGTGAGTGTGTGTGTTGCACTGGTACAAGTGGATCAGGCACAGCAGTGCTGCTGGAGTTTTTAAACACTGTGTCCACTCACTGTCCACTCTATTAGACACTCCTACCTTGTCAGTCCACCTCGTAGATGTAAAGTCAGAGACGATAGCTCATCCTCTAGTCCTTCATCAGCGGTCACAGGACGCTGCCCACAGGACGCTGTTGGCTGGATATTTTTGGTTGGTGGACTATTCTCAGTCCACAGCACTGCTGTGTCTGATCCACTCAGACCAGCACAACACACACTAACACACCACCACCACGTCAGTGTTACTGCAGTGCTGAGAATGACCCACCACCCAAACAGTACCTGCTCTGTGAGGGTCCATGGGGATCCTGACCACTAAAGAACAGGGTAAAAGGGGGCTAACAAAGTATCAGAGAAACAGATGGACTACAGTCTGTAACTGTAGAACTACAAAGTGCACCTATATAGTAAGTGGAGCTGATAAAATGGACAATGAGCGTAGAAACAAGGAGGTGGTCATCATGTTATGCCTGATTGGTGTATGTCACCAGCTTGTCACAGCTGCTGTGTGCTGTTCTTTCCCTGCCCAGACAAATGCAATCATCATTCTTTGATGAAATTTTGCTTGCAAGAAAAGATTCCATATTACGGCTGTTTCAAGTGCTTTTTTTTGGAGTTTCAGCACATTTTAATAAGCAATGATGCCAACGACGTATAGCTATTGCAGTCGGAACGCTTTAAATGCAGATGGCAGGTGAATGGAGAATAATTGAAGGTCACTCTAATTTAGTTAGGCTACAC